TACTGATAATGTAATGTCATAATTACATATTTGATTGTGCAGAGAAAAAAATAATTGTTTTTATGTGTTTCAAAGAGTGTATAACTTTGTATAAATTTTGTTCATGTAATACATGGTCATACTCTCCAAATGTAGTTTAATCTAATTTACCGATTATTCCAATAACCTCTAATAAACCAAAGAAATTACAAGGGGCAAGAATAAACATCTTTTTTGTATATAGTATTGATAGAAAACAGCATAAAATGTTTCCTTTACAACTAAAGTTGATGTTATGGTGATCTTCTAAAGGTAAATGACCTGTATATTATGACCAACTTACAACAGTTTGTTCTGTTTTTGGTAACCATTTCACGCTAGTTTCAAATACTTAGGAATTATGTTTGTCTTTCTCAGATAACTTTGTTTATCAGTTACTTTCTGATAATGGCCATTCGTGACAATCCTGAGATGTTATTTGCATTTAATTATAACGTACAGCACTGGAAATAATTACGGAAATGCACTACGATACACATACTAGAGTCACTAATAATAAGTAATTACAACTTAAAGGACAATTTATCATTATTACCATATATTATTATTATTACAGAAAATACAAAACAAAAACAACTCAGTTGTACAATGTAATAGTGCTTTTGATTTGTTTTAAACAAAACAGTACACCTTGTTTTATTGCAACCATAAGTTTACAAATGTAGTAAAACAAAATATTGTTTGAAATATTCTGTACTGCTCCCAACAATTCAGCCAAGTTCTTTGTTTTCTTTTTGATCTTCTCAGTTTACTCCCATGTATAATTCAAACACATTTGCTGCATGCTTCGGACAACTGTCTAGCTGGATAATAGATGGTTGTACAGGTTAGCAGTTGGGGTGCCACGAATTTTGTATAGATCTCAACACCACTGACTGAAATGTAGCCTACACTTACAATGGTCCTCCTGCATATTTTATGTAGATTTTTGTAAATTGACTATGGTGCCATTCTCCTCTCTGATTGGAGAATCTTTAAAGATCGTCCACACCCAGCTTTGCTCATCCCCATGCCTAAAGTATGGGACCTATTTGAGATTTTGATTTGGTTATTTTTCTTAATTAAGCAGTGGATTCTGAGCAACTTTGAGGCTATTTGTGCTAATGTGTTTCATGTTATTCTGGAGATAACATTCAAACTGGTACTTGACAGTGAGACCTTTAGCAAGATCTCTAATGGATTGTCGTGTATCATGTAAAGTTAAGAGCATGCCGTGAGTTTTTAAAATAATTTTTGAAGTGTTTGGACTTTCTACTTTGAAAAGTGCTTGTTTTACCTACCCTCCTCAACGTTTCCATACATTTCTTGCTGAACCATGAAACTTTGCCTTAATATGTTGCATGTTATAGCCTTCATCAGGAAGGTCTTTTAATTTCTATATGTTTGTCATGTGCCATTTCTCTTTTTGGAGTAGTGAGTACATTCATCACAACTGCCGGGAATAGTCCACAAAAAGATAGTAATTTTGATTTAAAATGTTTAACCCTAAACTTTTACTTTAGGGTCAAACGCAACCAGGGTGTTCAGAAAAACTTTTTGTCTTTGCCCGCACTCGTGACAATAAATTATTTGGAGTCACTACGTGAAAAAAAACAAAAACTGATGATTTTGAGGAGCAGAATGATAGTTTGGCAGCCAGCATAAAGAGGAGAGAAAAAACCAGGGACTGTTTGAACAAAACCAACGGGCAATGTGTGACTTATGGTCCTTTAGGGTGTCGGGGGAATGTATAGACCCGATGTCTAGATTTAAATGTGGGACAAAATGGAAGAAACCCCAGAAAAACCAATTTTCACTGGCTGGCACCAAATAATTCTCAAACCAGTGCGCAGTTAAGCGTGACTGATATGAAGGCCAACTAATGAAGAAGAAGAAAGAGAACTGCATGGTGAGGGGCTATCGTAGTAGAAAGCCTGTCATGTCAAACAAGCGACTGAAAGCGGCAGATAATTTTTGGGATGGTCTGTCGTGAGGTGAGACTTCATCTTTACTGGTTAAGGGGTGACGGAAAAAAGAGAACTGGGTGCAGGATTTGTCTTTGGAAGTGTCTATCAGAAGTGAAGAATTGGATGTTGGGCTGGATGGACGAGGAAGGGCCATATTGTTCTAAGAAGATTGATGGCTAAGTGTTGTCTTTTGGGGATATTGTTGTAAGGAGATTGATGGCTGAGTGTTGTCTTTTGGGGATATTGTTGTAAGGAGATTAATGGCTGAGTGTTGTCTTTTGGGGATATTGTTGTAAGGAGATTAATGGCTGAGTGTTGTCTTTTGGGGATATTGTTGTAAGGAGATTAATGGCTGAGTGTTGTCTTTTGGGGATATTGTTGTAAGGAGATTGATGGCTGAGTGTTGTCTTTTGGGGATATTGTTGTAGGAAGCCTGATGGCTGAGTGTTGTCTTTTGGGGATATTGTTGTAGGAAGATTGATGGCTGAGTGTTGTCTTTTGGGGGTTTGGTAGGCGTCTGGGTCTGAGTTGATTTTTTTCCTTTGGAACTTTTTAGTCTGAGCAGCTTGATCTGTTAGCATGACTGGTTCTGGGATGGTTTGTGCAGATTGATCTGAGGTTGAAGTCTTTGGTCTAGCATTAGTTGGTTGTTGAGTAGAGATGGTGAGGTAGGTGGAACTGGAGTGGTGTGTAGGAGGTGGATGTGGTTTCTCTGCTTTAAAGTGAAAGAAGTGGTAGAAACATCCACGGGAGCATATGTAGTCTGCAGTTTTCCTGGAGTTGGTCATGATTTTCATGCAATGGGAAGTTTTCAGTTTTTCTTTGAAATAATCCTAAGGACAGCGTGGATTTTAGAGTTTAGATTTTAGACGAGAGTATTTCATCTGTAGTGATAGTTAAGTCGACACTTCGTAGGAAGACTATGTGAAGACTGGCCTGGCTTTCAGGGGGATGACAGGGGGTCTGTCTCGAGTTCCATGGGCTACATAAGATTTAAGGTCATTGTGAGTCACGGGTTGTAGGAGTATTCCACCCCTCATGGCTTTAAAAAGTAGGCGAACTTGGGGGTTGTATTTGCGAATGAAGTCCGCAGTCTGTTGGGGAGAGTAGTCATACAGGAGTCCATCAGTGATGACGGGAGATATCGTAAGAAGTGATGGCAAGGGTGGTCTGCTTTTAGGAAGACCAACAGCGTGGTTAGACAGCATTCGGCGAAACCTCTGCATGGCCAATAATCATAAGTCAATACTAGTGAATACAGCTGGGAATAGTATGACTACCTGTTCGTTTATATACATTATGCTGGTGTGTCACTGTCTGATTGGTTGAATGGCAGCCAATCACTGTATAAACTATTGTTATGTCACTGTACTCTGGTGCAGTTTATTTTCACACGATAAAGGGCAAGCAATCCTATAACAACTGTATTTTATTCACTGTTTCAATAATTATTTTCAATACAATACATAAACCAAAAATCATAAACTTAATATCACCTAATCACATTTTTAATAAAAAAATATCATATAAATTAAAAAACTATTTCCTTAATTTGTATTGCCTAACGAAATATTATTGCCACATTTTAATTTCTAAACATTTCTTGCCTCCAGATCAGTGAATATCACTAAAAAATATGAAGTCTGATTGACAGGTGGCTTCTATAACAAGCTTGCAGTTTTCGTGCTAAACATAGATACAAAAATGGGTGGTTTCAATACTCACCCTGCCTTCATGTTGCTGTAAGACATGTAAGCTGCAATTACGACACCAACTCTTCCTCTATCACCCTGAAAGCACACCCAAAATACTTAATCACGTTTAATTTTTGCTTGCCATAACAGGAAAAAAACATAAGAAATTTAGATATAATTGACAGAGATGGGAAGCCACTGAAAGTACTTTTGTACTATGAGTTGTAATCTGTTCGTGACCATCACTACATTTCAATTTATGATATAAAATTCGCCATGATTAGTTCTGAGAGCTAACTTATCAACTTAATAAATTATTTTATTAGTTTGACACATAAATTCCACGTGTACTAACTTGCTAAGAAATGACTTAGCAAATACATATCTTAATCTTACTGCATGCTGACATTTTTAATTGCAAATAGATGACCATGCGCAGTTGATTAATTTAATAATTCCTAGCATATTATTACTTAGAAATATACCACTGCTCTGTTGTACGAACTAACATATTTCTTACATTGGAATATAGGCCTATTTCATGTAATATAGGCCTATATCACGTAATACAGGCCTATTTTATGTAATATAGGCCTATTTCATGTAATATAGGCTTATTTAACGTAATATAGGCATATTTCACGAAATATAGGCCTATTTTACGCAATATATAGGCCTATTTCTGTATTTATATGCTGAAGGTTCCATACCCAAGAGTTTTGGTTAATGTTAATAAGGCACTGTTTCTGACTGACTTAAAATTATTAATAATACCTTGCAATTTAACACGACTGTGTGATGAGGGTCATTTTTCAGCCACCTATCCATCGTATCGCATATTTTGAAGAGTCTTTCTAATTCTGGTGCCAAATCTGATGGCCACCCATAATCCTGGATCTAAAAAGGAACAAAAATACATCATATTATAACATTGCTATAAGTAAAATAAATAGCTTTAAAAGCTTTGGATAAAATAAAATATTTCGATTTTTTCTAGCAATTTATAATTGAGTGAACAGTAACAAAATATAACAGTTGGAATAATTGTCATAATCCTGGATCTAAAAAGGAACAAAAATACATCATATTATAACATTGCTATAAGTAAAATAAATAGCGTTAAAAGCTTTGGATAAAATAAAATATTTCGATTTTTTCTAGCAATTTATAATTGAGTGAACAGTAACAAAATATAACAGTTGGAATGATTGTTTGTTTTTGAATTTTGTGCAAACCTACACAGGGGCTATCTGCGGTAGCCATCCCTAATTTAGTAGTGTAACACTAGAGGGAAGGCAGCTAGTCATCACCACCCACCGCCAACTCTTGGGCTAATCTTTTTTACCAACGAATAGTGGGATTGACCGTCACATTACAATGCCCTCACAGCTGAAAGGGCATGCATGTTTGGTGGGATGGGGATTCGAATCCGTGACCCGCAGATTGCGAGTCGAGCGCCCTAACCACCTGGTGGCCATGCCGGGCCGGAATTTGAATAATCATCTACATTCACTCTTAGTGAGATCAATTATTTACAGCATTGTTCTATTAGGAATACACACACAGTGAACTATAAAGAGAATATTGTTTGAGTTATAAGAAATAAATGAACAATATATATATATATATATGGTAATGTGTAAGAGCATTTGAATATATATATATATATATATGGAAATGTGTACGAGCGTTGGATATATATATATATACATACGCATACAAGTTTTTGACTCAAATACTGACGCACTACGATTTTTATATTTAACACCAACACTATTTTCTGGACCCTTGGTGGGACAGCGGTAATTTTACGCACTTACAATGCTAAAATCCGTGGTTTGATTCCACACGGTGGAACAGCACGTAGCCCAATGTGACTTTACTGTAAAGCAAACCAACAGACTATTTTCTGTCTAACTTCTTTCAACTGAAATACAAAAGAAAAAAAACTTAAGTAGTAATTTTCTTACCTGACTGCTCAGCTCCATCATCTCTTCTGTTTGCTCAGATAAATTCAAGACCTAATTAGAGACAAAAAAGGCCAATAAAAACATGTTGTCCCCGAACTCGACTCAATTTTCTCTGGAAAGTTTACAAATCTATAATAAAATATATAACTTCACATACTTGTAAAATAGCAGAAATATCGAATACAAGTCTAAATACGTTATAATGTCATTGTATAGGTCACTGGTTAGGCCATATTTGGAGTAATGTGTTCAGTCTTGGACTCCCTACCTCAGATAGAACATTGAATTGTTGGAAAAGGTTCGAAGGAAAGCTACTCGACTGACACCTGGGATGGAAAGGTTGTCGTACGAGGATAGGTTAAGATCTATATAATTGTTTTATCTTGAGAAAAGAAGAGTTAGAGGTGTTTTAAATTGTGAAAGGAATTGAGAGTGTTGATGCATCATCTTTTTTTTTCGTACTTAATGATGAGAATAGTAGGACTAGGGGGAGTCATCTTCAGCTAAGACACCTTTATTTTTCTAACAGGGTGTTAGCTGGAATGGGTTTCCCTTTAGATGTGGTGGATGAAGTTAACTGAAGGGAGTTCAAAGAAAGGATTGATAATATTTGAATGATGGAGGCTGGAATTGAGTGTTGTATTTGTACGTTAGAGTTTAGTATAATGGATGGGACGGCCTATATGGACCAACAGATCCTTTGTTGTCCTTACATAAAAATAACACAAAAACTAATTTTTTATCCAATTATTGAAAAATTATAGGTCTTATGCAATATTTACCAAAATTAGAAACGCTGGAATAAAGTCAATTCATATAAACGAACTTATACAGTTGCAGCCTATTGCACAGTTTCTATATAAAACTACAAGGTTCAGTACGAGATATCCATATAAACGAACTTATACAGTTGAAGCCTATTGCACAGTTTATATATAAAACTACAAGGTTCAGTACGAGATATCCATATAAACGAACTTATAAAGTTGAAGCCTATTGCACAGTTTATATATAAAACTACAAGGTTCAGTACGAGATATCCATATAAACGAACTTATAAAGTT